TGATATGGGCTAATCTTACTGGAGTTAGGTGATATCTCAAAGTAGTTTTGATTTGCATTTCTCTGATGATTAAGGATGGTGAGCACTTTTTCATATATCTGTAGGCCGTGCGCCGATCTTCTTCAGAGAAATTGGACATTTTCTATGACAGAACAAAGCTCCTCATTAGAGGAAGAATCACATAATTTGTGCAGGAGAGACTCGTATGTTCAGATGTAAGGTCAGGGACTGTGGGCTGGACGGGAAACCCAGGTCTTGGGAGGAGGCTAAAAGTGGAGACTGAAGTTCACTGAGCGGCTTGATAAGAGTGAGTCCCCACCGAGGGGACCAGCATGTCCCCACCTGTACATACACGATTAGACAGGAATTCCGGCAATGGGAATCTCTGGGCAAGTCCCCTGTAAAGAATGTCCATGACTTCCACGGGCAGGTCTTCCCGAGGCCAGGACAGGTGAGGGACTGAGAGAGAAGACAGTCCCTGGCATCAGCCTGCGTGGGCCCCAGTGCTGGGGAAGGTGTCCTGGGGCGGGGGGCACCTCCCACACTCACCTGAGGATACTAGAAGGCACCTTCACCTGCCTGGGTCTCCCCCATCACAAAGCGGAACCTCTGTGCTGTTTCAAGTCTTGGTCAACTTACTACTTGAACTTTTTGCTCCTTTTCTCCCTGTTTATATATGAAAAGCTGCTAACAGGGATGGTTTACAGAGCACCCACTACATGTCTTATGCCAGAATACACAATTTATAGATATCATAGTTTATCTGCATGACAACCCCATAAAAATGATTACTATATTAATTTTCCAAGGGATGAAAATTGAATAAGGTACTTGCACAGACAGCTTTGGGGTCCTTTCCTCTCTCACTTCGAACCTTGTTTGCTTTCCCCTACGAAGCACTTAAATGTGATGCCCGGCTGGTCTGATATTGGACTTCTTAGTGATTTAACGTAAGAGCTTCCCCCCGGTATGTACCTGTAGTTCTATGTTAAGATTTAGATAATTTCTGCTGGGATTTTCATCACAAAAAGAAATCAGTTGCAAAATTATTGTAAGTCCTATGTATCTTACAATGTAGAACATTCTGGATTAAAAGTTGTTCATTATTTTTTAGTTTAATTTCATTTGGAGAGTCCTGGCCATGACTGGATAGTACTGGATAGAAAATCCAAGTAAAACATTTGCAGATTGATTATTTGGAGGGATCGGGGCTGAACCAGCAGACTCGGCACCAGAGTTTGGTGCCTCCTGCCCATGTCCTCCCAGTGCCACAGGACAGGGCCACGGTACAGGCCAAGGTCTGTTGGCACATGGGCAGTCGGCAGGAAGCCCGACACGGGTGATGAGGAGAAAGCAGAAGTAGGCCAGTGTGCAGCACAATTTCAAAGGATTGTTATCATTTGTATTTACTTATGAGTTTGAGTGGAATACTTAACAGTCCTGGGACAACCTCCACAGCACACGGACGAATGCAGAGTCAACTGACCTAAAGACACCCAGGAGTCCATCCCAGTCCTTCCACTGCTAACAGCTGCTGGCCCGGGAGAAAATGAATGAAACCTGCAGACCCCAAATTTCATGTAAGCCATGCCCACCACTGGGGCAGTGAGAACACCACAGGCACTAGGGGTGCGTAGAGAAGGCACCGCGGCCAGTAGCAAACCCTAGAAAGAGCAGGACGCAGAGAAAGGGCCACGTCGGATGTCAGCCCCATGATGTGTCCACAGACCCTGTGCATCTCAGGAACAGTGAGTAGTGGGACGGCTCCACACCCCCCCCCACTATGGGTGGGTCCCACAGTGCACTGGGCACATGCAAGTGCCATCAGCAAGGCCTGGTCCTCAGAGTGCGTCTTCGGGAGGACACAGATATTGGCCCAAGCTATTGCTTTTTTCAGCCGCAGATGACTGAGAACATTTTCATAGACAAATGAGAAGCCCAGACTCCTGCTTTCCAAAGATCAGCCTGGTGCGTGTGTGGTGGGTGTACACCAGAATGGAGACGGCTGGCATCAAAATGCCCAGCGGTGTGACATTTATTTAAGAGAGGTGTCTGGAAGGGCCAGTCTCAGACAAGGACACAGGAGGGCAGAGAATGAAGGCAGATTTGAGATATGTCTGGTGGGCAGAATCTCCCTGACACTTCTATCCAAGAATATGAAGTCGGTCAGGGCCTGTTCTTTCTCCAGGAAAATACTTTTGCTCGAACAATGGAAGAACATAATGAAATGGGAAAGCAGATTAGAAAATTACGTCTCCTTAATGGCTCCCTTCTCTCCCCTGCACCCCTCAACCAACCCCTCAGTCGTCACACAGAGAGAGAGGGTACTCACAGACGGAGTTTTTGGGGCTGCTGTCCTTGCTAGGCAGCATCTTGACACCTCTCGACTTCAATTCGATTGCCTTTTTCACTGGAAGAAACAAAATAAAGCCATTAGCAGGTGAAATTCGGAGATCAGAAGACAATGTTTTATCCTTACTGAGTTTCCCATCAAGACTGCCCTCTCGCCAATCCCTGAATATGGGACGTGCTCTAGAAGGTTAATGACGCAGAGAGAATGAGGCGAAAGAGCTTGTAAATAATTAATACGAGGCTATCAGGCAGCAAGATCCTATCTTATGATAACTAACAGTGTCAGGAGCTAAAACTAAGGCGTGCTGCAGTTCACCCCACACAGGCAACCCTATTCACGGCTGGAAGTGGCAGAGTCTACAAATCATTATCGTTTCACCAGAGTGTTCGGGCAGAGCCTTCTTTCAATTTATGCCTGGTGACTCTAGAGTTTTCTAAATTTGCTATACTCATGAAAAATTTTAGACAAAAATACCAGTTGCTCATTCATTTATTCATATATTCATGACATCCTTACTGCCTGGCAAATCTGGATGGAAGGGAAGGGAAGGCGAGTTCTAAGGGTGGTAGAGAAAGTTTTAGGTGACGGTTCCCCGGGCCACCACACGGGCAGTGCAGAAGGCACGGGTGGTGACAGTCCCCCAGGCCACCACACAGGCAGTGCAGAAGGCATGGGTGGTGACATTCCTCCAGGCCACCACACGGGCAGTGCAGAAGGCACAGGTGGTGACAGTCGCCCAAGCCACCACACAGGCAGC